ATATGGTCAGATGAAACCAAAATATAACTTTTTGGTAAAAACTCAACTCGTCGTGTTTGGAGGACAAAGAATGCTGAGTTGCATCCAAAGAACACCATACCTACTGTGAAGCATGGGGGTGGAAACATCATGCTTTGGGGCTGTTTTTCTGCAAAGGGACCAGGACGACTGATCCGTGTAAAGGAAAGAATGAATGGGGCCATGTACCATGAGATTTTGAGTGAAAACCTCCTTCCATCAGCAAGGGCATTGAAGATGAAACGTGGCTGGGTCTTTCAGCAAGACAATGATCCCAAACACACCGCCCGGGCAACGAAGGAGTGGCTTCGTAAGAAGCATTTCAAGGTCCTGGAGTGGCCTAGCCAGTCTCCAGATCTCAACCTCATAGAAAATCTTTGGAGGGAGTTGAAAGTCCGTGTTGCCCAGCGACAGCCCCAAAACATCACTGCTCTAGAGGAGATCTGCATGGAGGAATTGGCCAAAATACCAGCAACAGTGTGTGAAAACCTTGTGAAGACTTACATAAAACGTTTGACCTGTGTCATTGCCAACAAAGGGTATATAACAAAGTATTGAGAAACTTTTGTTATTGACCAAATACTTATTTTCCACCATAATTTGCAAATCAATTAATTAAAAATCCTACAATGTGATTTTCTGGATTTTTTTTTCTCATTTTGTCTGTCATAGTTGACGTGTACCTATGATGAAAATTACAGGCCTCTCTCATCTTTTTAAGTGGGAGAACTTGCACAATTGGTGGCTGACTAAATACTTTTTTCCCCCATTGTATATAAGCGGCTTACTATGATGTCATCTTCTGTAGGTACAGTGAGGGAAAAAAGTATTTGATCCCCTGCTGATTTTGTACGTTTGCCCACTGACAAAGAAATGATCAGTCTATAATTTTAATGGTAGGTTTACTTGAACAGTGAGAGACAGAATAACAACAAAAAAATCCAGAAAAACGCATGTCAAAAATGTTATAAATTGATTTGCATTTTAATTAGGGAAATAAGTATTTGACCCCCTCTCAATCAGAAAGATTTCTGGCTCCCAGGTGTCTTTTATACAGGTAACGAGCTGAGATTAGGAGCACACTCTTAAAGGGAGTGCTCCTAATCTCAGCTTGTTACCTGTATAAAAGAAACCTGTCCACAGAAGCAATCAATCAATCAGATTCCAAACTCTCCACCATGGCCAAGACCAAAGATCTCTCCAAGGATCAAAATCAGCAGGGGATCAAATACTTTTTTCCCTCACTGTAGCAGTAAACATAGTAACTACAACAATCTTACTTTTCTGTTATCTTTGCAACTACTAGTAAACAGAAGTAGCTAGCCTCCCTTTGATCACCTTAAAGGCAGCAGGTACCAAATCAAGGGTCACATTCTTCCTCCCCTCGAGGTTTCTACTATGAGCACTAATACTGCAGATCTGAGAAGGCATTCCTGTGCCTTATGGTAGCAGGCTGGCTGTGGGGAGGGCAGGGCAGCTGTCTTCCCTAAATATTAATCAGCAGGAACTGGCGGGACAGGGGGCGGATGGGTGAAACGTGATGGAGGTGGACAGTGGAGAATGGCTCGGGAGAGGCCGATGGAGCTGGCAAGGGTGGAGAGGCTTGGGAGGGAGGGGAGGTGGGGGGCGGGGGAGGCTGGGAAGGGTGGGGGTATGATGGGGGTGGGATGGGGACAACGCTCCCCCTCCCCGATAGCACGGCCCTGGTTGTGTCCCACAGCTGGATCAGCATGTCCCTCCCTACCCTGCCTCACCCCACACATCTATCACCCAGCCTCTGTCTCTGTCTCAACCTCTACCAAGCTAGGCATGCAGCGCAGACTGCTCCTCTCTCATTCATATAGGATCATAATCAAGGAATTAGCCTAAACCTATTAACAAAGCCCACAAGGCCATGAGGAATGTCCAGACATAAACACGCTGTCCTTCAGAGAGATTACATGTCTCACCTCAAAGTCCTCTCACTCACCTTCTATCTGGCCCATTAGTTTGACTTGGGTTCAAAGGAATGTATGAGTATTTTTGATTTTCTCCTCTGACTCCAGCAGTGCATGTATCATGCGGCGAGTCAACCATTGGCACTGACAGTGAGTCTATCACCTTGCATTCTCCACATCACAACTCCTGCTCTAATAGGAGGTGTCTGTGTTATATCTTATGCTAGGAGTCTCTCTCACACACACACACACACACACACACACGCACAGACACACACACACACACACACGTTGCAAGCACACACACACACAGGTAACGCGCACCCACACACACACACAAAGGCGCAGCGGGACATGGCTTCATAGACTCACACAGCTGATGCAGGTCCTTCCAGCTTTTGGAGGAGGGGCAGGTGGTGATAGTGAACATGGAATAGGCGTTCCCAGCCAGTGTGCTACACAGACTCTGCTGCCACCTTGCAAGGGTCCATTGACCGCTGCAGCACCTGCAGAGGACTATGAAACACAGTGATAAGCACTGGACTGTAAACTAACCTGCCGTAATGCATGGGGCATAATTGCTGACTCAAATACAACATACACACACACCCAAACACCCATACACACACATAATAACCACACTGGACACATACTCTGGAAGGAGAATGTCAAGACTACCTCAAGGCTGGTGTGGGTGTATGTACACACACACACACATCCACACAGCAGGGTGCAAAGCAGGAAATGCAAACTCGTAGTGTAGTCGTGGTTTAAAAAGGCTTCTAAAGTTTGTACTTTCCACTTTAAAATGTCAGAGTTGATTTGCCCTAACAAAAAATGTCCATTAATTATAATCCACATAATAATTCACATTTCCTGTTGTTGCAGGATTATTGTGTCGAGGCACAGATCTGGGGAAGGGTACCAAAAAATGTCTGCAGCATTGAAGGTCCCCAAGAACACAGTGGCCTCCATCATTCTTAAATGGAAGAAGTTTGGAACCACCAAGACTCTTCCTAAAGCTGGCCGCCCAGCCAAACTGAGCAATCAGGGGAGAAGGGCCTTGGTCAGGGAGGTGACCAAGAACCCGATGGTCACTCTGATAGAGCTCCAGAGTTCCTCTGTGGAGATGGGAGAACCTTCCAGAAGGACAACCATCTCTGCAGCACTCCACCAATCAGGCCTTTATGGTAGAGTGGCCAGACGGAAACCACTCCTCAGTAAAAGGCACATGACAGCCCGCTTGGAGTTTGCCAAAAGGCACTTAAAGGACTCAGACCATGAGAAACAAGATTCTCTGGTCTGATAAAACCATGATTGAACTCTTTGGCCTGAATGCCAAGCGTCACGTCTCGAGGAAACCTGGCACCATCCCTACGGTGAAGCATGGTGTTGGCAGCATCATGCTGTGGGGATGTTTTTAAGTGGCAGTGACTGGGAGACTAGTCAGGATCAAGGAAAAGATGAACGGAGCAAAGTACAAAGAGATCCTTGACGAAAACCTGCTCCAGAGTGCTCAGGACCTCAGACTGTGGCGAAGGTTCACCTTCCAACAGGACAACGACCCTAAGCACACAGCCAAGACAACGCAGGAGTGGCTTCGGGACAAGTCTCTGAATGTCCTTGAGTGGCCCAGCCGGATCCCAGACTTGAACCCAATCGAACATCTCTGGAGAGACCTGAAAATAGCTCTGCAGCGATGCTCCCTATCCAACCTGACAGAGCTTGAGTGGATCTGCAGAGAAGAATGGGAGAAACTCCCCAAATACAGGTGTGCCAAGCCTGTAGCATCATACCCAACAATACTCGAGGCTGTAATCACTGCCAAAGGTGCTTCAACAAAGTACTGATTAAAGGGTCTGAATACTTATGTAAATGTAATATTTCAGTTTTAAATTTATTAATTTGCCAAATTGAAAAAGAAAACTGTTTTTGCTTCGTCATTATGGGATATTGTGTGTAGATTGAAGATTAAATTTTTTAAATAAAATATACATTTTAGAATAAGGCTGTAATGTAACAAAATGTGGAAAAAGTCAAGGGGTCTGAATATTTTCCAAATGCACTGTATATTATCCATGTCCTTGTTCAGCCATGACTCCGAGAAACATAGGATATTACAGTTCTTCAGGTCCCATTGATAGGATAGTCTCGAACAGAGTTTGTCCAGTTGTTCTCCAGTGATTGTACGTTCGCCAATAGAATGAAGGTTAGAGACGGTTTATTTAGCCAAACTGAGCAATCGGGGGAGAAGGGCCTTGGTCAGGGAGGGGACCAAGTACCCGATGGTCACTCTGACAGAGCTCCAGAGATCCTCTGTGGAGATGGGAGAACCTTCCAGAAGGACAACTATCTGTGCAGCACTCCACCAATCAGGCCTTTATGGTAGAGTGGCAAGACGGAAGCCACTCCTCAGTAAAAGGCACATGACAGCCCGCTTGGAGTTTGCCAAAAAGCGCCTAGACTCTCAGACCATGAGAAACAAGATCCTCTGGTCTGATGAAACCAAGATTGAACTCTTTGGCCTGAATGCCAAGCGTCACGTCTCAGGGGCAGGGTCTGGGAGACTAGTCAGGATCGAGAGAAAGATGAACAAAGTACAGAGAGATTTTTGATGAAAACCTGCTCCAGAGCACTCAGGACCTCAGACTGGGGCGAAGGTTCACCTTCCAACAGGACAACGACCCTAAGCACACAGCCAAGACAATGGAGGAGTGGCTTCGGGACAAGTCTCTGAATGTCCTTGAGTGGCCCAGCCAGAGCCCGGACTTGAACCCGATCGAACATCTCTGGAGAGACCTGAAAATAAGGCTGTAACGTAACAAAATGTGGAAAAGGTCAAAGGGTCTGAATACTTTCCGAATGCACTGTATCTATACCCTGTATGTCACAAATCTAATGAACAGATTGCTAACAACACACCATAAACTACACATAACATTTTACCATTAGGTGGGAGCACACAGTACAGGGAATGCCATTGTACTTTTTTTCTAGGATATAGAGCCAATTTCACATTTCTGGCAAGTGCCATTGTGGCCAGGCTCACCGCTGAGCTTTAGAACTGGGGAAGGAGAGGTTCTGAATGAAGGACAGCCCTGTGTGGGGGACGGAGCAGCACAGTGATGGGGACTGAGGGGGGCACCACACAGAGAGGGAGGCTTTAAGGGGCAGCTACTGAGGGAACCCACCCCCAACACCCCAACACATACAGAGATCAACAACACAGGGGGTGGGCAGCCAACACTAAAATATCTATTTTGAAAATCATCTACCTCAGTACTTATTTCTGCTTACCGTCGTTGAACTGGCTGTTGGCTTTCTCACAGTTGATGATGTTGAAGCGATAGGGTACGTTGGCCGCCATACCGCTGACCTCGAAATAGAACCACTAGTGGTGCTGGGAGCAGTTGGCGTCCGCATTCAGGATCAGATCATACTCATGACTGAGGAGGAGGCAGGCGGTTGAAGTCAGAGATTACAGTTGAATCCCAAATGGCACCATATTCCCTGTATAGTGCACTATACTTTTGACCAGAGCCTGTCAAAAGTAGTGCCCTATAAAGGGAATACGGTGCAATTTGGGACACAGTCTACATCATGAAGAAAGACGTCTTTCCCTCTCTGATGTATTCTAACTGCTCAACAGCGTAGCCGTTTTACAAAGAATTGCTATATTATTGAATGACATTCCAGTCCCGGTCTAGGCTAAACCTTTAATTTGATCTGAAATATGTCAATGGGACACCTTCCTTACAGAACCAAAAGGAGAGGTTAGAGAGACGCTGTTTGATTTCCAATGCAGCGTAAATGAGCCCCGAGGGGGATGGACTGCCTGTAGTCAGATCTCAGCAAGGAAGCAGGAAGGAGCTGGAACCAAGGGAAGAACCGTACCTGCGGACGTGAACGGCTTTGCGCAGGTTCCCGCACTCAAACTTGGAGAAGAAGCTCAGGGATTTGGAGTGATCAAGAGAGCACGGGGAGCTGGGGGGAGGTTCATTAATACAGAGTACCTTGACTACATCAACAAGTATAGATGACTAGGAGAGTAATGGTCATTTTGAATTTCAAGCTTTAGTAATTCAGTGTCCGGACCCATCCACTAACAGTCTGACCAGAAACAGAAAATGGCACCCAAGGTTTCTCATTATACACATAATCTAGCTGAGTGTGCCTGGCGATGCTCTGATTATCAGGCATGCAGTAAGAAAGCACCAGTCAGGATGGTGTAGTTGCTCTTACAGTATCCATGTTATTCACATCCTCTATTTCCACTGCATTCAACTAACACATCAATAGATGAGTCTGGAGCAGCAGAGCCCAGAATATCCCAGACATACCCACACCTATCCACCAAAGTGCTTTGCTATTTCAACATTTTGTCTGTAACAAGAAGGGTATTTCACTGTCTGGTAGCAGATGTTTTAAGCAGCTATGCCGGACATCCATTAAGGATAGGGCCATATGATAACTGCCCGTGTGGAATCATTCAGAGAGAGTGGCTGACTTGTCAGCACTTACCTGGGGTCCTCCAGATCAAACACAACTTCATTAATAATGTCCTCAGTGTAGGGGAGACACTGGATGTCCTCAAACACCTTCTTACTGTTAGAGACAGAGTATAGTACACATCCAATGAGGATAATCCAGTGTAATATAGTTACACTACCGTACACTTCAATAACACACCAATCACCATTAATATTGTTGATTAATGATGGTTCTGTAATTACTTTAATAAATACTGTACATATTTTGCTTCAATGACTCTCTTAGATTCGCCGGTACTGGCCATATAGTACAGCATTTTGTAATCTAAAGCATGTTAGGACGGTATCATTACAAACAAGTACATTTGAGTTCTGTAATATTATAGTGAATGGCTGACTTCATAAACCCTGGAAGTCAGCCTAAACCCTGCATGTTAACATATATGGCAATTCGACTTGACATTTCAAGATATTGCCCAACTAAATATAAACAGTGGGATACATCCAACACCTGCAGACCTAGTTTCTCTGTATAGTGGTGTGGTGAGTCAGCACAGCAAAGGGCCATGATATTTCCTCCTCTCTCTCAGTAGCTGGAGAGAGACTGTGGTGCAGAGACTGCTCTCTCTCTACCCCTCTCCTCTAACTAGCCCATCGCCGCCTCCCCAAGGTCCCTCACATCTCCCCAACTTCAGAGGAGAGGCGCCGGCCACAGAGGAGCACTGCATCAGACAGCCATTCCTTTCCTCCTCTCTGTGAAGATGGGCTGGATAAATGTCTCCACTGCAGCCACAGAGCTCTCCTCATCCCCTTCTTCATCCCTGTGCAGGGTGAACTCTAAAGAAATACACCAGAGGACAATAATAAAGTCTGGGAGATCCACCATCAGGAGGCTAGAGGAACACATGCTGAATGGAGCCTGTGGGTGTGGCTGTTTGATCAGGCCATGCCTGTGAGGACCACTGCCCTGCATCTACCCCACCAAGTCCTGAGGGGACAGAACGGCCAGTAACCATCCCACTGAGTCAGAGAGAGTCAGAGAGAGGCTGAAAACACTTTCTCACGCTCTCTAAGAAAGCAGGGCCCAGCAGACCAGACGCCCTCCAAATGAAATAAATCTACTTGTTTTTCTTCATGAAGAGGAAAAAAACTTTTGAGTTTTACATAAGGGAAATCATAATTTAACTTGGGACAATTTACATACACTTCTGGTGAAAGCTGAATTTAAAAGTATTCAGAACCATTTTATGTGAACTCAGACTCCCCAAAAAGTAAAGTGCTTGACAAATTGCATCTATGCAACCTAAATGTTGCAGACTGTCAAAGACTTTAAGTCCCCCAAAAATGGCTTTTGCGGAGAAGAAGACATTAAATAGAGCTAACATAGTCTTATCTCTCCCCAGGGTGAACACAATGAATTGTGAAATGAGTTAAATAAACGTCCTTTCCCACAATCTGCAATTTGCACCTGGAAAAGTTAACCTGACGAGACTACATTGGCGAGTACATAAACCGTCTCTAACCTTCATTCTATTGGCGAACGTACAATCACTGGAGAACAACTGGACAAACTCTGTTCGAGACTATCCTATCAATGGGACCTGAAGAACTGTAATATCCTATGTTTCTCGGAGTCATGGCTGAACAAGGACATGGATAATATACAGTGCATTTGGAAAGTATTCAAACTCCTTGACTTTTTCCACATTTTGTTACATTACAGCCTTATTCTAAAATGTATATTTTATTTAAAAAATGTAATCTTCAATCTACACACAATATCCCATAATGACGAAGCAAAAACAGTTTTCTTTTTCAATTTGGCAAATTAATAAATTTAAAACTGAAATATTACATTTACATAAGTATTCAGATCCTTTAATCAGTACTTTGTTGAAGCACCTTTGGCAGCGATTACAGCCTCGAGTATTGTTGGGTATGATGCTACAGGCTTGGCACACCTGTATTTGGGGAGTTTCTCCCATTCTTCTCTGCAGATCCACTCAAGCTCTGTCAGGTTGGATAGGGAGCATCGCTGCAGAGCTATTTTCAGGTCTCTCCAGAGATGTTCGATTGGGTTCAAGTCTGGGATCCGGCTGGGCCACTCAAGGACATTCAGAGACTTGTCCCGAAGCCACTCCTGCGTTGTCTTGGCTGTGTGCTTAGGGTCGTTGTCCTGTTGGAAGGTGAACCTTCACCACAGTCTGAGGTCCTGAGCACTCTGGAGCAGGTTTTCGTCAAGGATCTCTTTGTACTTTGCTCCGTTCATCTTTTCCTTGATCCTGACTAGTCTCCCAGTCACTGCCACTTAAAAACATCCCCACAGCATGATGCTGCCAACACCATGCTTCACCGTAGGGATGGTGCCAGGTTTCCTCGAGACGTGACGCTTGGCATTCAGGCCAAAGAGTTCAATCATGGTTTCATCAGACCAGAGAATCTTGTTTCTCATGGTCTGAGTCCTTTAAGTGCCTTTTGGCAAACTCCAAGCGGGCTGTCATGTGCCTTTTACTGAGGAGTGGTTTCCGTCTGGCCACTCTACCATAAAGGCCTGATTGGTGGAGTGCTGCAGAGATGGTTGTCCTTCTGGAAGGTTCTCCCATCTCCACAGAGGAACTCTGGAGCTCTATCAAAGTGACCATCGGGTTCTTGGTCACCTCCCTGACCAAGGCCCTTCTCCCCTGATTGCTCAGTTTGGCTGGGCGGCCAGCTTTAGGAAGAGTCTTGGTGGTTCCAAACTTCTTCCATTTAAGAATGATGGAGGCCACTGTGTTCTTGGGGACCTTCAATGCTGCAGACATTTTTTGGTACCCTTCCCCAGATCTGTGCCTCGACACAATCCTGTCTCAGAGCGCTACGAACAATTCCTTTGACCTCGTGGCTTGGTTTTTGCAGTGACATACACTGTCAACTGTGGGACCTTATATAGACAGGTGTGTGCCTTTCCAAATCATGTCCAATCAATTGAATTCACCACAGGTAGACTCCAATCAAGTTGTAGAAACATCAATGATAATCAATGGAAACAGGATGCACCTGAGCTCAATTTCGAGTCTCATAGCAAAGGGTCTGAATACTTATGTAAATAAGGTTTCTGTTTTTCATATTTAATACATTTGCTAACATTTCTAAAAACCTGTTTTCGCTTTGTCATTGTGGGGTATTGTGTGTAGATTGATGAGGATTTGTATTTATTTAATCCAGAGAGAATAAGGCTGTAACGTAACAAAATGTGGAAAAGGTTAAGGAGTCTGAATACTTTTAGAATGCACTGTACATCTAGCAGATTTTTCTATGCATCGGCAGGACAGAACGGCAGCCTCGGGTAAGCTCAAGGGGGGAGGTGTGTCTCTTTGTTAACAACAGCTGGTGCGCAATCTCTACTATTAAGGAAGTCTCGAGGTTCTGCTTGTCTGATTTATAATACCTCATGATACGCTGTAGACCATCCTATTTACCAAGGGAGTTTTCATCTATATTTTTCGTAGCTGTTTATTTACCACCACAAACCGATGTTGTCACTAAGACCGCACTCAACGAGCTGTATAGGGCCATATGCAAACAAAAAGTGGCACTCCTAGTGGCCGGTGATTTTAATGCAGGAAAACTGAAATCCGTCTTAACTCATTTCTACCAGCATGTCACCTGTGCAACTAGAGGTGAATAAACTCTAGGTCACCTTTAATCAACACACAGAAATGCATACATAGCTCTCCCTCGCCCTCCATTTGGCAAATCTGATCATAACTCTATCCTCCTGATTCCTGTTTACAAGCAAAAACTCAAACCGGAAGTACCAGTGACACGCTCAATACGGAAGTGGTCCGATGAAGCGGATGCTAAGGTACAGGACTGTTTCGCTAGAACAGACTGGAATATGGAATATGGCATTGAGGAGTTTACCACATCAGTCACCGGCTTCATTAATAAGTGCATTGATGATGTCTTCCCCACAAGTGATCCAACGTACATATCCCAATCAGAAGCCGTGGATTAAAGGCAAGATCCACACTGAGCTGCTGCTTTCTTTTATCCTTTTTCTTTATATGATTATATATATATATATACTTTTATATTTTATTAACAATACAAAACATACACAAACAAATGACACCATACAAACATCAACTACATCACTTCTGCCCAGACCCCTAGCCCTCACCACTCCAATTCAAATATCGCCCCAACAGATCCATAGATGATGCAATCTCTATTGCACACCACACTGCACTTTCCCACTTGGACAAAATGAACACCTATGTGAGAATGATATTAATTGACTACAGCTCAGTGTTCAACACCATAGTGCCCTCCAAGCGCATCATTAACCTAAGGACCCTGGGACTGAGCACCTCCCTCTGTAACTGGATCCTGGACTTCCTGACGGTCCGCACCCAGGTGGGGAGGGTAGGCAACAACACATCCGCCATGCTGACCCTCAACACGGGGGCCCATCAGGGGTGTGTGCTTAGTCCCCTCCTGTACTCCCTGTTCACCCACGAACGCGTGGACGCGCAGGACTCCAACACCATCATTGTTTTCCGACCACACGACGGTGGTAGGCCTGATCACCAACAATGATGAGACAGCCTATAGGGAGGAGGTCAGAGATCTGGCAGTGTTGTGCCAGGACAACAACTTCTCCCTCAACGTCAGCAAGACAAAGGAGCTGATCGCGGACTACAGGAAACGGAGGGCCTAGCACGCCCCCATTCACATCGACAGGGCTGTGGAGGAGCAGGTCGAGAACTTCAAGTTCCTCTGTGTCCACATCACTAAGAACCTATCATGGTCCACACACACCAACACAGTCTTGAAGAGGGCACGACAACGCCTCTTCTCCCTCAGGAGACTGAAAAGGTTTGGCATGGGCCGTCAGATCCTCAAAAGGTTCTACAGCTGCACCACTGAGAGCATCTTGACTGGCTGCATCACCACTTGGTATGGCAACTGCTTGGCATCCGACCGGAAGGCACTACAGAGGGTAGTGCATACAACCCAGCACATCACTGGCGCCGAGCTCCCTGCCATCCAGGACCTCTATATCAGTCGGTGTCAGAGGAAGGCCCTAAAAATGGTTGAAGACTCCAGCCACCCAAGTCATAGATTGTTCTTTCTGCTACCGCACGGCAAGCGGTACCGATGCACCAACTCTAGAACCAACAGGACCCTGAACTACTTCTACCCCCAAGCCATAAGACCGCTAAACAGTTAGTTAAATAGTTAACCAAATAGCTATCTGGACTATCTGCATTGAACCTTTTTGCACTAACTTCTTTGACTCATCACATACGCTGCTGCTATTGTTTATTATCTGTTACTTTATTCCTACTTCATACCCCTGCACATCGACTCGGTACTGATACCCTGTGTATATAGCAAAGTTATCGTTAATTATTTTGTATTTCTTATTACTTTTACTATTACGTGTTTTACTTTTCTATAATTTTTTTGGGTCCAATCATTCACACACTCAATTTAGTTATGGGTAGCTGCACCAGTGCTATTTTTTTATGTCTTGCATGGTATTTTACCTTCAACTTACTCAACTATAAAACCATTGGTTAACATATGAAGATATATACCTACCTTTGTACATTGGGTTTCCTTCCAGCCATTGGCTCTTTGCTCTGTGGAGGGAGATGTCACCAGAAGTCAGGAAAAGCTAGTATAGAATACCCAGGGATGGACTTGGTGAGTGCTGCTGCTTCTGTGTACATGTGTGGGTCATGTTGGGGGATGCAGGCTCCGTGGTTCTCCAGCAGCCTGTCAACCATGCTGGGGTGGCCGTCCTGCTTCACCTTGGCGCTAGACAGGAAGTGTCTGTGGAAGTCCCGGGCCTGCAGATGGTTCTGTGGAGGTTTTCCTTGGCCTTCCTGGTCTACCTCCTCTACTGTTGAGACTGGGTGTTCCACAGGAGAATGGGATGGAGAATCTCTGTGACTTACTCTGTTGACCCTCCTCATCTGAGCTCGAATCTACCTCAGAGTCCAAGTCCTGAAAGACATGTAGAGTACTCTATAACGTCAATGGGGTAGATGATTGTTTCTACCCTTCTGTTTAGCCGTGGGTGTCTCTTAGCCTCTGGTTATGTTTAAAGTACACAACAACCACGATTAGCTAAATATACTATGCGTCGTAACAACTCAATTAAAATAATAAACTCAAGGGATCTTATCGAATAGCTTTTTAAAAAGGAACATTAAAATCAAAATGAAATGCATTTCATAGTAAAAAAGAGAGAAATCTCAGGAGCACATATTCAGTGTCCCATTCCCAGTGTTCTGTCCTTTGATGTTGAAAGCAGATTATGTCTACCAATTACAGCACCTGACAAGCAGAAAATATGCTACTTCATTGGCCCTGACAAGTCCTTGCCATTTAAATACCAATTTAGAACCTATGCATAATGGTTCCATTATTCCACTGAGAGGAGTCAGGAGACCAATTCCTTGAAGCTTGTGTTCATGGCGCAGGCATGGATTAGCATGTAAAGGGTTCATCAAAGCATGTGGGATCATCTGGAAATCCAGAATCTTCCTGTGTGTTCTTTGGAACTGGGCAGCAGATAGCCTAGCGGTTAAGAGCGTTGGGCCAGTAACCGGTAAAGGGCGCTGTTTCGAATCCCTGAGCCGACTAAATGAAATATCGGTCATTGTGCCCTTGAGCCAGGCACTTAACCCTACTTGCTCCTGTAAGTTGCTCTGGATAAGATCGTCTGCTAAATGACTAAAATGTAAACGTAAATGTGGAACTCATAACCTCTATCCCTCAGCAGTTATGCTAAACCTCCAAAGATTATGGGAGTTTTTTCAGTGTTTGCACTGCACCACTTGCTGTTTCACTGCATTTTGAAAATCACATCACATTAACATTAAAAGCAGAGCTCTAATTATTACCAATGGATATGCACTGTATAAATGCATACTGTAGGTATCATTAAAGCAGAGAGCAAGAGACAGAGAGAAAAAGAAAGAGAGAGACATATCACTCTGGACACTATACAGTCAAAGCTGGGTAGCAGGTTTCAGGGAAAAGTTTCGGAATTATACTTTTTTGGCTGTAGCCCTTTCCTGCAGTCAATTACCAAAAGTGCCCTCTTTGGCCTCATGGGTGGAATATTATTAATATTTCTAATAATTTCATCATAAATATTATTTTTTATTTTCTTTACTGACGAAAATCCAGTGTTTCTCTGTCAAACAGTTTTGTTATATTTCAGTCTTCTGTGATGTATATAAAGTGTAATATTGGGAAGCAAACTCAACTCTATATCTGATACAGGTGTCTTCTTAATGAGGTGTATACTTTTGTTTCAAAGAAGATTTGTTTAAGACTACCAAGAATGACTCACTCTGTGTGACCCTGATTTAGCCCACTGCTGTAAAATGTTTTAATAATGCATGTTTGACTTCATGCACTCAACAAAGCAATGTTGAAAACAAAATGAAACTAAATAGTATTTCAATTCAAATACGCTCGCTTCTCTCCCTGCACCAGAAAAATGTGACATCAGTTTCATTTAAAATGAAAAAGGCTCTAAAAACAAACAGCATACAGTGAGGGAAAAAAGTATTTGATCCCCTGCTGATTTTGTACGTTTGCCCACTGACAAAGAAATGATCAGTCTATAATTTTAATGGTAGATTTATTTGAACAGTGAGAGACAGAATAACAACAAAAAATCCAGAAAAACTCAATTTTGGTCTCATCTGACCACAACACTTTCACCCAGTTCTCCTCTGAATCATTCAGATGTTCATTGGCTAACTTCAGATGGGCCTGTATATGTGCTTTCTTGAGCAGGGGGACCTTACGGGCGCTGTAGGATTTCAGTCCTTCACGGCGTAGTGTGTTACCAATTGTTTTCTTGGTGACTATGGTCCCAGCTGCCTTGAGATCATTGACAAGATCCTCCCGTGTAGTTCTGGGCTGATTCCTCACTGTTCTCATGATCATTGCAACTCCACGAGGTGAGATCTTGCATGGAGCCCCAGGCCGAGGGAGATTGACAGTTCTTTTGTGTTTCTTCCATTTGCGAATAATCGCACCAACTGTTGTCACCTTCTCACCAAGCTGCTTAGCGATGGTCTTATAGCCCATTCCAGCCTTGTGTAGGTCTACAATCTTGTCCCTGACATCCTTGGAGCGCTCTTTGGTCTTGGCCATGGTGGAGAGTTTGGAATCTGATTGATCGATTGCTTCTGTGGACAGGTGTCTTTTATACAGGTAACAAGCTGAGATTAGGAGCACTCCCTTTAAGAGTGTGCTCCTAATCTCAGCTCGTTACCTGTATAAAAGACACCTGGGAGCCAGAAATCTTTCTGATTGAGAGGGGGTCAAATACTTATTTCCCTCATTAAAATGCAAATCAATTTATAACATTTTTGACATGCGTTTTTCTGGATTTTTTTGTTGTTATTCTGTCTCACACTGTTCAAATAAACATACCATTAAAATTATAGACTGATCCTTTCTTTGTCAGTGGGCAAACGTACAAAATCAGCAGGGGATCAAATACTTTTTTCCCTCACTTTAGATATACTGTAATCCCTAGGGTCAATTTGATTACTAAATCTAGCGAATGAAAAGAGACTGGTGAAAACATGATTGTGTTGTTTGCAATTTCCAGAACATCATCATCATTAGAATCTCTTTTGATTAAACCGTAGATACAGTGTTGGGGAAGCTACTCTGAAAATCTAGTTTACCAAGCGACAATTACTTCACAAGAAGTTAAGATACACTAAAGCTACCCTTAAGGAAAATATAGTTTACTTAACTAAAGTTACTTTGTGAAAAATTATTATATGTAAATCTGAAATGTCAGATTGCAAGAACAGATCACTGTGGGGTCAACATAATTTGTAATTTAGGCTATTAAACACAAAAACGATGTTTCAAGTGAGAATTAGGCAGGTCTGATATTGAAAAAGAAAGGAAATGATTGCCTAATTTACCCATATAAAATGCTAAAAAAGTAGTGTGTATTTCCAGTAGTTCGCTACACTGCTACATGGCAAAAAGAAGAAGAAATGAACTACTGAAAACACTACCTAGATTTGAATTTAGTTTAACTACCACCAAGCTACTGCAAAATGTAGTTACTAGTTGAATTGCATGTTGTTAAATACTCCCCAACATTGCGTAGATATGATGCAGGTGCAGGACAGAACAGAACTCGGCACTCACATTCTAACGTCTCACAATATTCAAAGACATAATTAGAGGAACACCTGGGAGTTGTGCTGCAGTGGTTGCATTGAAGATCCTGGGATAACGTTAGGGAATGGACACCCAGGGTCTCATTGAGAGGTGTTATACAAGCAGCCCAGATCAAAGCAAGCTGCTGCAGTAGCCTCAGACATCTGTAAGGGGGAGTAGACTAGTGCCTTCCACTCCCATACTCCTCTACTACAGTCCCCAGGGCAGGGAACCAATATCTCTTGGCCTCATCAAGTATTACAAGATTGAAAATATATAATGAAACAGACTATCCCTGGTCAGTTCGAGGCATTATGCATGAACCATAGTTATTTTGTATGCCTATTCTCATGCTTTATTTGATCATGCAGATCATCAGACACGACAACTTCATTACATGTAATCAGTCAGGTATAACCAATAACAAACAAGGTTTGTTAATTTATGCCTACTGTATGTCGCCTGTCTAAGCATTGCAGTGATTTTCTCTGTTCAAACACAAATCTATTTTTCAGAGAAAATGAACTTCCAATGCTGTGTTCAAAGTCAATATTTCAAAATATAATTAAAACTACAATCAAATGTGGACACTCTGAAGTCAACAATGAATGTGAAATGCATTCGACCTTTGTGTAATCGCTGCTCTCCCACCTCTGAAGAGGGCATTCTGGGAACGTAACTAACCTAATTGTCTTCTTGTTTCATGGCATGTTGAATTACTACATCAGTAGAGAGACAGCTGCAAATTAATTGGGGAATACGTTTTTTTCAGCAACAGCAGTTAAAGGGGTAGTTCACCAAAATTACATTTGTTTCCTTACCCTATAAGTAGTCTATGGACAAGGTATGACAGCAATCCATGCTTTGGTTTAGTTTATGGTTCCAAGTGAAAAAAACATCTACTCAATGGAAATAACAGCATTCTCCATGCAGTGTAATTTATAAATGGATAAGAGCTATTGATAAGAGCTAGGTAAATGAGTAATCAGTTTGGAGAAGGGGATTGTAAATACACATAGCAATTGTTTTAGATTATGTTTCCTTATGATCCCTGAGACGAATGTGAAACCAGCCATATAGAAGCAAACTGAAAATCATATGAACATGACACGTATTTCGGTCCCTTTTCCAGTGAAATAGGCTATAAATAGCTGTGCCGTTATTCAGAATTGTAATTGTGTGCCCTCATAATTTTCATGGATGAAATTTGGACACCCAAGCTATAGGCTCTGTAGGACTGAACCTGCCGAGTTGATGTATGCGCTTTAGAATGTTTTAATGATCGCCTATGCCCGGGCTTTTCTCTGTTTTATTTTACAATTTGTAGCCTATTATGTAAGATATTAGCCACTATCGGGAGCCACCGTCAGTAATACCCACATACATTTATAACTGCCACTTTAGTGTTCATTTTCTTCAATTTGTAGGTTACATTTTGCATCTGTCACATCCGTGTAAATTGTTCCTGAGGGTCGCTAGCATTAATGGATCATATTAGGCTAACTTTGTGCAATAATTTGGGACATGTAGCCTATTTAAATCATTATGGAACACAAACCACACTTAGCAGGATCAACCTGGAGACTGGTGCACGGTTCATGACGACAGTCATAGAGTTCCATGATTAGTGAGAATTAGGGTAGATTTATAGGACTATTGTTCAACCCCTAATGTACACTTTTTCCACCTTCCAATATTTCATGGATTGAACTTGAATTTGACAACTTTCAGGATGAATCAAACACACTATTTTTTTATTCAT